CTCTCTCTCTCTCTCTCTCTCTCTCTCTGTCTCTCCCTCTGCCCCTCTTCCCCACTGACACTTTCCTGTGCTCTCTAAAATAAAATAAAATAAAATAAAATAAAATAAAATAATAAAATCTGTTTTTTTTCTCTGTACAAGAAAAATGCCAGAAATACCAGACATTAATCAGTACTTATTTTGAGAAATTAATAATAATTTAGTTCTTTTAAGATTTTTAAGTCCTTAGGGGTGCTTGGATGGCTCAGTTGGTTAAGCGTCTGACTTTGGCTCAGGTCATGATCTCGCGGTTTGTGAGTTCAAGCCCCGCATCGGGCTCTGCTGACAGCTCAGGGCCTAGAGCCTGCTTTGGATTCTGTGTCTCCCTCTCTCTCTGCCCCTCCCCTGCTCATGCTGTCTTTCTCTGTCTCAAAAATAAATAAAACATTAAAAAAAATTAAAAAAATTTTAAGTCTTTAATAAAAAATTTAATCTTACTCACCGTGTGTAAACTGATTTTTAAAATTTAGGCTACTGGGATGGCTGGGTGGCTCAGTGGGTTAAGGTTCCGACTCTTGATTTCGACTCAGGTCACCATCTCACATTTCGTGAGATCCAGCCCCACATAGCCTCTGTGATGACACCACAGAGCCTACTTGGGATTCTCTCTCTCCCTCTCTCTCTGCTCCTCCCCTGCTCATGTTCTCCTCTCTCTCTCTCTCTCAAAAATAAGCTTTAAAAAATCCTTAAAAATAAAATAAAATAAAATAATTAAAATTTAGAGTACTAAGGAAGTTTTGGAAAATGCACACACCACATCAGGTAATAGATTAAAGTTTCCCAATATATATTTTCATTGTCAGTAACATAATATTAAATTTATTATACTATTTCATAATAATTCTAAAGAACAGGTCGGTGTGATCTTTTAGATAAATTGAGTCAATTGAATTGGATCTTCTGAAAATAATGGCCAATTCTAGAAATTGTATTTGACATGTTACTGCATTAAAAACAATATGGAAAATAATACTTTATATAAATGCTGTTAATTGGAACAATATGGCAGTTAATTAAGCTACATAGGTGTTTGAGCCTCTTTTTTTATTTCCAGATGTGTTAATGAACTGCAGCCTACATTTATATTCATAATTGTAAGAGATAAAAACAACATCATTCTATCCCATTTCCTAGAAATTGGCTCATAGTTAACACTATTTGTCCAGCTCTTTTGTGTTTCTGCAAGAATTAACATGATAAAAGCAGGCACAGTTTTCCAGATTTAATTATATTTTTGCCGTTATCTGATAATGATCTTACTTGATGTTATTTTTTAACAATACTCTGTTTCCTAAATTCTGTAAATCAATGAACAACTTCATACGTTTTTTTCAAGAAATTAAACACCTATTGCATGGCACTTCAAACACAAGACACTTGGCCTTATCAAAGAAATTGTGGATCTCACTATGCTTAGTTGAAAAATTTAAATATATAAACAGAGCTTTAAACCTTTAGGGATTTAGTAAAGGAGCTCAGCTCTTGATCCAAATATACTACAAAAGCCCTTGGCATTGAACTATGTATTCAAGTGTGAAGAATTCCAGTAGTTGAATGCCTTTAGATTCCCCTTACACCTCCCACCTCATCCCCAACCCCAGTCCTTTTTATTGTGTTAACTTACATCTAAGCAATTATAATCTTATAATTGAGGAGGGACACCTTTCATCTGTGTAGGGACACACTTGATAACTAATGAAAATAAAGGATACTCTTTCCAGAAAAATGCACAGGAACACACAATTGTGCATGTGAGACAGGAACCTGTAGACCACCTCAAGAGCTTACCCCTAGAGCTTTCACAGTAACCCAGACAGCAGCTAACCCAGCACCAGAAAATCACCAGTCACTTAAAATTACTACTGCCTCGGAAGAGAACTCCATCCAGACCTAATTAAATCCTGCAAAGTCTGATAGTCTACCTTTTTCCCATTTCCAACTACCTCACCCTTGCACGCCCCATGTAATTCTGTGATTATATATTCTTAGCCATGCTGTTGCCATTGGCACATACCTCATTTCCTGTTTTACCTTGGTTATAGCACAAAATACGTTTACTTCTCTTTACTATCCATCCCTGTATGATTCCAATATTGTTCTCTGCTTCCTCTCCCTGATCTAAAGCCCCACTTCTCCTTTCCATCATTACACTTTAAATATGTCCATTATGTGCCCTGGAGGGCTCTCCCATGGTTAATGGATAATGAGCATTCCAGCATTCCCTGTAGCTCTAAAGGTGAGGCTGTTCACTCTCCCACATTCCGGGTTACTCCTTCCTCTTCCTCAGAGCTTCTCTGAGGTGACTTATTTAAAAAAGTCACTTCTTTAAGGGCGCCCTAGTGGCTCACTCAGTTAAGTGACCAACTCTTGATTTCGGTTTAGGTCATGATCTCACAAAACCAGTGAGATCGAACCTTTCTTTGGGCTCTGTGCTGACAGCATGGAGGTTGTTTGGGATTCCCCCTCTCCCTCTCTCTGCCTGTCTCTCTCTCAAAATAGATAAATAAACTTAAAAATAGTCACTTCTCTAAAGCTCTTTTCTACCACACAGCTAGATTATGAGTTTCATGAAGACTTCCCATTCCCAGTTGTATCACAGAACGGAAAAACAATGCCTGTGTGCAATATTTACACCATTAAAACATGTTGATTTTTGTGATACAGACTCTGCTTGCTTGTGGGAGAACAGAAGTACATACAAATATCCATAAGTTTTTTTTTTCTTTTTTTTTCCCCCAATCCCTAGCACCCTGAACTGCTCCACATGCAGACGGAGTATACACCCCTTTATCAAGCCTGGGACAGCTGGGCCCCCCAGACCTGTGGAGCTGGGGCCAAGTACCAACCACCTGCACAGGCTCCAGTAAGGAGGAGGCCCACCCCCTGTAAACTACCCTGAAGTGGCAGCTACAGACTGACAACAGTCAGCTCCCATTTGGACTTGTTGCCTGATGGGGTCCAGGGCTTCTCCAACAGCTAGGAGTCCCTGGTGTCTCACTAAATGAAATTCCAGCCAACCAGCAAGTCCCTGTCCTATGATGGCAGGCCAGTATCCTCCAGCTCTGTCTTCGTGGGGGGATACGCACATCTGGGTAGTTTACTACTCGGAGATAAGCAGATGCCTTTTGTCCCCAAGATCCTATTCCTGTGACCAGGCCTCTCTAGACCCACGTCCTGGTCCGAGTCCCTAGTGACCCTCCATTAGGTTTTGACACAAAATGTGAATGAATATTTCTTGCTGAATAAAGTATAAAACTCTATTGCAAAATTCTACTTGGTGCTGAGAAAAAAAATCAATAGCCATATAATAAACATACTTACAATAATGATGTCTTCTATTAGAAAATACGCTTTAAGTTACTGTTTATATCATTGAAATTGATTTCTGAGAAAGTCTCTGTCTCCTCAGAAACCTCTAGCTAAATATCTCTAACAGTATCCTATCTTACAATATTTTTAAATTAACTAAAATATCTGTATTCATGTTGGCTACATTTTTATCTAGACAGCATAAATACTATTTATATACTTGATTATCCAACATGAGTCCTACAGTCAGACATAGACTAATTATAATTGTGTAATTTACATCTACAGAATTCTTTTAACCAACTTCATCTATTAGCGATCTTGAAGACAGGTAGTATTATTTATGCAACCCATATGATAAAAGATATTTCTATATCACATTTTATTCTCTCCTGTATATCTTGAACAATATATACATGGTGCAAATTTTCCATAGCATTCCCAAAATACTGAAGTACTAGTTTTTCAATTAACTTACAAAACAAATTCACACATTAATTTTAAAATCATAAAGCAACAAAATTATATATTTAATGACAGATTTTTACATTAATTACGAAATGTTACAGCTGAAACACTAAGAAATGCTCTTTGTATTTTATTTTGCTCTTGTTAACTTAGTCTAGGATGACCTTAACCCATTGCAATGGGTTGTTTGTTTTGAAGTGGCCATTGAACAAACACAACAACATGCTGATTTCAAATTGCCAGAGAAATGTGTCAAAAAATCTAATGTTTTTGAAGTCACCATCTGTCTGCCTGTCTGTATCTCTCTCCCTCTGTCTCTCTCTTTTTTAATTAAAGGGACCTCTTGGGGTGCTTGGGTGACTCAGTCGGTTAAGTGTCCAACTTCAGCTCAGGTCATGATCTTATGTTTCGTGAGTTTGGGCCCTATGTCAGGCTTTGTGCTGACAGCTAGAGCCTGGAGCCCACTTTGGATTCTGTATCTTCCTCTCTCTCTGCCCCTCCCCCGCTCATGCTCTGACTTTGTCTCTCTCAAAAATAAATAAACATTAATTTATAAATAAGTAAGTAAGTAAATAAATAAATAAATAAAATTAAAGGGGCCTTATTCTCACTTTCTCTGTTTTGATAAAGTCATCCGTAGTATAGTCAGAGGCAAAAAAATTCTAGTGAATTCATGGAATTTACACAATAATTCTAGATTGTGCTATGTCTTGACTTCTAGGAACTTCTATCCAAATACTTGTACTTCTTAATTGTATTTTTAAAATATTGGGGGGGAATATTCCTTAAACCAAGCTGCTTGATGACTTTTGTGTCACTGACACAAAATGTTCTCAGAATGTTTTTAACTACGTACTATAAAATATGAATATTTGCAAAATAAATTAATATTATTTTAAAAAGTTTCATCCACATACACATTGTAAGGGAGTCTGTGTATCCAATGCATTTCAATTAACATTAGGGTATGAAAAACCTCGACCCAATTATCAAGTCAAAAAATTACACTGAGATAAACACCATTTCATTGAAATACGTTTCCAAACTTATGACAAATGAAAATGTTAAACTGTTTTTTATAATGTAATTTTTTACATCAGTGAGACATGCAAAGATAAAAAGATGCATTTTAAACCTAGGAATAATAATGGTATGATATCATTTTAGGGTAAAGTCAGTCATACCTTTATGGCAGTGGATGCAATTTGAATGTGGTGAAGTCTCCGAAGGGTGCTGTCCCTGTCAATGAAATAGGAAGCGGCTAGTTGATGTAGCGTCTCCAGAGTGACCAAAGAGCTATTGGTGCTGGAATCACTTCCTTCAGATCTTTTGCTCAACTTCCGCTTGTCCACAAAAATTGTGAGTGACTCCTCTCCTGCATTAATAATATTTAAAATTATTCAATTTTCCACTTAAAATCAATTTTTCATTTATCTGCAGGTGAGGAAGTGTAGATTACAGACATAATGAAACAAAAGACTGATAAGTAACAAAAGGGCAAGTTTTACTTTTGTGTCGCTCACCTGGTACCTAGAAAGGTACTTGAGGTATTGAAGGCTGTAAATACTGACTAGTAAATGGTGAAAAACTAGCTTTCGTGGGATGATTTCTCTGGATTTTTTTGACTTTCATATAGTTTAGCTTACCTAAAACCCCTGTGGCACAAAAGCAAATTAAGAATGGAAAATATGTAATATGAACTTAAGTGTGGTGCATGATACAAAGTTGTATTTACTCAGAAATCTTTACTGTAGATCAGCATGACTAATGGAAACATGACCAAGCATATTACTAAACACTAGCCATTTTTTAAAGGTTTTAATATTTTAGTAATCTTTATACCCAACGTGGGGCTCAAATTCACAATATCAAGATCAAGAGTCACATGCTCCACTAACTGAGACAGACAGGTGCCCTTAGCCGTGTTTAAAGTGCAGAGAAAACATGCACAGTAATACTTTGGATTGCACGTAACTTGTTATGTGAGTGTCACGCAAGATGAGCAAACATTTCTATCATTTTTAACTTGATAAATGAGTGATGTCTTGGAATACAAGGAGTAAGTGATGCCAAACATCACATGATCACAATGGGGCCAATGGTTCTGCTCTCTCTCTCTCTCTCTCTCTCTCTTTCTCGTTTGCTCACTGAGGGATTGTGGGTGATAGTCTCCCATACTCGGATGATATTCAGTGTCAGGCCATGGTGTTTGGCAGAAATCAGTGATTTTTCAGAACGTTAGAAGGTGCCCACAACAGGCACTAGTGTATTTTTTGTCCCTTCAAAGCACCTATGGATAGTCCTTTGCTTTTCCAGAAAAGAGTAAGCTTAGGAATGCTTTGCTTCATTCTAGGTCAGGCTGCCTGCAGATATAGACCCTTTCCTCTGTCTTCTGCCCTTTTTCCAGCTGCATTAAATACAGTATATGTCAAGAGTTTAATACTGTACTGTAGTCAACATCTGTTGGTGATAGTGAAAGCTGTCCTACACAATAATCCTCCTCTCTCTTGTCTCCCTCACACTACCCACGAAGGTTTTCAAAGGTAAGTTCAAGTTAGTTTGTTTATTTATCTTTATAAATAAATTTCTTTATATTTCTTTACTTTGTATTTTCTGTATTATTTTGTATTATGTTACAATATTATAATCATTTTATATGAATTTTTGGGGTTGTGGGATGAATCATCTGTTTTCCATTATTTCTTATGGGGAAATTCACTTTGATCTACAAGTGCTTTGATTTAAAATCATGTTTCCAGAATGAATTATGGTCGCAAATGAAGGTTTTACTATATACAAATATAGTTATGTAAATATATGTATTAAATTCAGAGGTTCCTGACATGTGGCATTATATACAAATATTATGTGTTAATAAGCTCTATGGAAATCACTAACCTCAATGGAAGATTTAAGTAGTGCCAATGGATTTTCAAAGGTGAAATTTAAGGTATAATATAATTAAGTTGCAATTTTCAATGTTCAAATGTTTATAAGAATATCAATGTTATTTAAGCTTAACTTTAAGAACTTGCTATCTACAGATTTCCATATTCTTGGATATTCATCTAACACACAATTGTCAGAATTGATGCTTACTCTTATTCTTTCAGTAACCCACTGTTTAGGGGGCATTATGCCAGCTTAGAAAGTGACAACCCAGTTTTAGAAAATACCAAATAAATAAAATAATATTAATTTAAAAATGACACATCCTCGGAGACTATTCAATCCTAAGTATCAGCTTATATTTATCCACAAGAGATCAGGTCAACTGATATCAGAAATAAAGTATTAACAGTGTTATTTCTGAAAGGTCACATTCTCAGTTTGTATTTGGATCCTCACAGGCAGAGTAGAAATCAAGCAGCCTAACTACAGCAGCTGAAAAAAAAAAAAAAAAAAAAAAAAAACAACTCTCAAAAATATGAATGAGTAGGTCCAATTATGAACAGCATTAGGTCATGTGCATGATAAATGGTTTTCAGGTGAGAACATCTGGAGGAGAAAAGTGAATATATATGTAAATTACTACACAAGCAAATAAAAAGTCCCCACTGACTACTTACCCCCAGAAAAAGAGGATTAACTAGTGTGGAAATTTGAGTGAATGTATCTCAGAAAGACCAGTGAATTGTAGAAAAAAAAAAAAATCACCTATGTGCCAAGTTTGGGAGAGAATACCAAAACAAACAACATCCTGTACATGGATGTAGAAAAAACAGTTCTGTGGTAGTCTGAGAACTCATAATGAGGGTGTATCACAGATGCAAGTGCTATGGTCTGAATGTTTGTTCCCCTCAGAATGTATATGTGAAATCTTAGCCCCCAAAGATGAAGGGATTAAGAGGTGGTGCTTTGGGGAGGTGTTTAGATCAGAGCCCACATCAATGGAATTAGTGCCTTTATAAAACAAGTTCCAAGAGAGCTCCCTTGCCCCTTCCGCCACATGAAAATACAAGACTATGCAATACTGAAAAGGGCTCTAACCTAACCATGATGGTACTTTGACCTTGGACTTCCAGGTTCCAGAAGAGTGAGCAATAAATTTCTGCTGTTTATAAGCCACCCAGTCTGTGGTGTTTTATTGCAGCCCAAATAGACTAATACAGCAAGAGGCAGGTCTTATGAAGTAAGGTTAAAAACAAAATGACAAAGATCTTGGTAAATGTAAATTAAAAGAAAACAAAGTTAACAATCTTGATATCAGATATTGTAGAATTCGGACCAAATATTAATAAGTGAGAAAAAGAAAAACACTGCATAGTGAGTACTAAAGACTGAAACTTGTCAAGTTGTTTTAATGACAACACTTTTAATAAAGCAGAAAATACCGGAGATATAGGTTAAAATAGTACAAGAAATGCAAATTCAAAATATATTGATATAGCACTTTGCAATTACGGAATTTGCCCAAATCCGAAAGTTTGACAACCTTGCCAAAGATGTTGGCAAACTGGAAGGAAACATGCCCTCTGATATATTGCTGATGGTAATGCAAAATGATGTAACCAGAGAGAAATCTGGCAATAGTTAGCAATGATTGACTCAGCAGTTCTACTTTTAAAATCTATCCCAAAAAACACTGATTAAGATATGCAAAAAGCTTCCTACTGTGGCTTTATTTGAAATATTTGTAGCAACCCAGAGACCTCATCAGTAAGAATAAACTATGTTGCATCTACAAAGTAGAATACACTGCAGCCACAAGAAAGAAGTGAGAGGGGCGCCTGGGTGACTCAGTTGCTTCAGCCTCTGACTTGATTTGGGCTCCATTCATGATCTCCAGGTTTGTGGGTTGTCTGGCATTGGGCTCTACACTGACAGTGTGGGAGCCTGCTTGGGATTCTCTCTCTCCCTCTTTCTCTGCTCCTTCCCTGTACACATGCTCTCTGTCTCTCATTCTCTCTCTCTCTCAAAAATAAATAGACATTAAAAACAGAAAAGAAAAAAAAGTGAAAATGACTTAAAACATTTATTCACATAAGTAAGTTTTATGAGTTTAATATTATGACTAAAACAAATTTGTGGATGATTTGGCAGTTCTCAAGTGATTTTACTTAGAAAGTACACCGAAATATCCAAGTTTAGCCTCCTTGCATTTACAGTGTTTTCTACAGATTCCTGTAGATGGAAAGAAGCGTAACTATCTATTCTTTGAAATAATATCTAATTTTTCTTCAATTCAGTGATACATTAAATTTAAAATATTGGTTCAATTGATTTATTAGAAATTAGTTTTGCCTTCTGGAGATTCAAGAAAGCCTTTTAAATACGTAAGGAGAGTCATCCTCACGGTCTCTTTTTGTATAGTAGTGACTTTTCTTATTACTGGAGCTGTCCAACATGAATTGAAAAAGTATACATCATTGATCAGAGGAGATAATTAGACCACTAGAATGGACTCTTTCACTGAATTATGAGGTACTGGAAGGAAGAAAAATATAGAATTAATTGTTATAGTTTCAGTGTAACTATGCCAACTGCTAGTGCCAAACAGATTTGAGCTTTAATACTGGCTTATATTTAGTAACTGAATGACCTTGAATTGTATAACTTGACTCAATTTCCTCTCATGGAACTTGAGTATAGTATTCCTTCTACTAAGAGGAGCTATAGGCATGAAACAGATAACATCCATAAAAGGTTTAGAATATGACTAGACTGCAGTAAGAATTTGAAAGTTGTTGGCAAGGTATTATTCTCTTTTACTCACCCAATTTCTTAAACTTAAAATAAAATAACTCATTCCATATCTGCACATTTCTAGTAATTTTAGCTGCTTTGTCATATTTGTGATGGACAGAAGCCTCTATTTCTACTTCTTTTACATATCCATGAACCCTGGTCCTACAATCTGTATCCACACATAGAAAGTAAATATCTCTCAAAATAGTCCTTTAAATACTGTATCCCTCTATATGTCTTCACTCTTCTGATGAAAACTCCTTAGAAGGAATTTTATTAATTCCTTCGTAGGCTCTCAGTTGAGTCATGTCTCATGCAAAAAGAGAGGAGTAGCATAAACTTATTTTAAAAGCAAATTAAAATACTTGATTTAAAAATATTTTGCAGACAGGTGCCTGGGTGGCTCTGTTGGTTAGGTGTCCAACTGTTGATTTCAGCTCAGGTCATGATCCCGTGGTTTGTGGGTTCCAGCCCAGTGTCAGGTTCCTGACAGCTCAGAGCCTGCTTGGGATTCTCTCTCTCTCCCTCTCTCTCTGCCCCTCCCTTGCTTGCACACACACTCTCTCTCTCCCTCTCTCTCAAAATAAATAAATAAACTTAAAAAAAAAGAATATTTTGCAGATGTTAGAGTGCCTCATGATAATTTAGAAAATGACACGTAACAAAAACTAAGGATTACTATTTCAG